TAGTGTGGGGCCTCACCCACCCACTCACCCCGGGGCGCCCCACCACCTCGGCTGACCATCTCATCCCTGAGCTTTTCTTATGCCTGTCTTGATGCCTGGCTTTCCAGAAAAGTTAAGGGAAGGGGGAAAAGCTTCTTCCACAATGAACATCTCACCATAAAACATCCTCTGAGAGACAAAAAACAAGCAAGTAATGAAGAGATCATCATGTTCCTAAAGTGGAAGGTTTAATATAAAACTCAGTACTTCCAAAGTGGCACATGAAGCTAATGGAACTCCAATCTAAATCCTGAGAAGATTGCATAAGAAACCAGACATAGCTAGTCTAGATATGAAAAATGACAACAAAAATTAAGCCAAATGAAGGAACATTTGCAACACATAATAAAGTAGCCATCACAATGTAGATCAAATGAAAACAATGAAATGATGGGTTTTTTTCATTAGATTAATAAAAATGTTCAGGACCACTAACCTCCCCTGCCGAGCAGGTGGGGAGACAGAACTATCATGTAGTGTTCCTGTAGGTAGGAATGACCGTAGCCTTCTGTGAAAATTAAAGCAGCACTACCTGATGAAATTCCAAATTGGAACGCCCTGTGACTAGGGTATTTGTCAGCTTTCTGTCACTATGACGAAATGGCCGAGCAACTCAACTTACAAGAGAGAGACATTGCTGTGTCTTATAGTTTCAGAGGTCCCGCTGTATGGGTTGATTAACCTTTGGAGACGGGGTGGAGCAGAACAACCTGGTAGGAAACCACTTACCTCATGGAGTTCAGAAAGCAGAGAGAGATGGAGTAAGGGGCTGAGGTCCCAACGTCGCCTTCAAGTCTGTACCCATAACAGCATACCTTCTTCCCCTCCAGCCCCATAATCTCTCCATAGCACCACAGGCTAGCAACCAAGCCTTAAGCACGAGAGACTTTGGGGACCACTCCAGATCTAAACTAGAACTAGCAACTCCACCTTGGGGAATTTATCCTTAGAAACAATTGACTGCATCTAATAGTAGCAGCACTGTTTGTTCAGAGATAGAACTAATATAATCAAGATGTCCTCAGCAGGAGAAGAACTGAATCCATTATAATAATCCACACTGTGGACTATTATGCAATCATAAAAATTGTTTAAAATAGTAACCTATTATGATGGGGAATATTCATTACACATTGCATTTTAAAAGGAGCTAGATGCTATCACCCCATTTGTATGTTCTATAAAAGACAATAAACATTCCATACATAAAGTTCTAAGACATGTTTGCTATTGTAAGGGAACATAGAAGAATCACGTTATGGCTTGTATGTAGATGTCCCCCAAAAGTTCATGCAGTCATAGGCAGGGTCTTTCAGGGTGGCTGGATCTGGGGTTTGTCCTGGATTGATACAGAATGTGATGCTAGGATCAAGGGCATGAGGGAATCTACCGGAAGTGTGGAGAGCCTGGGTAAAACCTAAGGGGCGGAAAGAGCTGCGGCCGTGCCTTGTCGCTTGCTGCCTCGCCTTGTCGCTTGCTGCCTCCTGCCTGCCCTGCGTTAGCATGAACTGTTTCTTCTCTACAATGCCTCTGTGAGCTAAATAAACCTTTCTTCGTTGTGTTTTGGGTGTTGGGCACTTTGTCTCAGCAACGAGAAAAAGTAACTGAGGGAGATCATATTAAATATCGCTGGCAATACTGGTTACCTTTGGGTAGAGAACTGGTACAGAAGAAAATGTATTTTTTCACATTTCATTGTTTTTAGTCATTACAACAAGTACATATTGCTTTTGGAGCATGAAAAAAATAGAGCCGGGTTGCTCTTAAGGGAAACGTGCACACACACGTACAGTTAGCTCACAATGACTGTCAGCAGATGTAACTGTCAACGTGGCTAATTCACAATGTACTTGTTTGATGTCCTGGTCATTAATAAGATTTCATAGAAAAGAATGAAGCCACTCTGAAGACTTCCCCCCAGCTCTCTTCAGCCTGTAAACGGTTCACTCGTACAGTACAGATGGCCACCGCTTCACAGAGGCAGGTGCTCGCCACGAGGGAACTAAGCCAGCTCCTAGCTCGGTGAGTGGCATGGCCCACCGGGATGCCAGCTGAAGGCGTACTCAGGTGAGCGAAATGGGCTCCGCTGCTCCCCGACCTGCAGCCAGGCCTGCCTGCCCCTTCAGTCTCCTGCTTTGCCAGCACCCAAAACTTAAGCAGCCTCCAACTCTAGCTATTCCACTCAGTCCTCAGCTCAGTGCTGCTGTGGGGAGGGGCTGCTCGGAGCCCTGGAAGGGGACAGTAGGACCTTAGCCCCCATCTCTTCCTCGGACTTTGCGCCCTGGCCATGCGGTAAGCAGTGCTCCCACCACGTGTACTGCCGTGATGCGGGTCATTCCCAGCACACGCCACGGAAAACCCATCTGCACATCTAACACACAGTAAGTGCCAGTAGGAACAGTTCTTTTCCTTGGCTATCATTTTTTTTTAAATACAGGAGAGCTGTTTGTAGAGTGATTCTTTGCCACGTACAGGCCCCAGAGACAGTGGGCTGCCTGTGCAGCACATGGGTCTCCTTTCAAGAGTCCAAGAAAAGACAGTGCAGCCCTCGGCCCCACAGTGCGAGCTGCCATTTTTAAAAAACACCAGCCTCCCTACCTATCCTTCTTAAAGGAAGGCAAGTGCAAGGCAGTCTCACCAACTCCCAGTCCTAGAAGGCAACCTTGTACAGCTCCAGGAAGCCTCCAACCCCTCAAAAACAAAACCCGTGAATACGGAAGTGCCTTACGTAAAGCTGTACCGTGTGTGCACGGCACCTAGGAAGGCTCCTGTGTGCTTTCACTCATTGCCAGATGACTTACGATACCTCACACAATACAACGGAAGTGCTGCGTAAACAGCGGCTACCCTGCACTGTTTAGTGAATGAGTCCCCCCAAAAGCCTGGGTATATTCATTCAAAACAGACGCAGGGTTTTTTCCTGAACATTCTCAATCCTCCGTTGGTTGAATCCATGGATGCAGAGCTGTGGATTTGGAGGCTGACTGTGTATGGCAAGGTGCCAATCCTAACCCTACAAACCTGTCCTGGCGTGCCTGGGGCCAAGCACCCTTTCTGCATAGAGGCAAGGTATGGAAAACACTATCTACTGTATTGAAAGAATTTTAAAGGTGCCTATTGGTGATTAAGTTTAAAGATTGAAAAACCCCATGAGAAAACAGATGCAAGGCTGGGAGGGTGAGATTTAGACACCAGGCAGACTTTACCTGAAAATCTCTAAAACGTAAGCGGGCTGTGCTTGGTTTACTGCTGCTCTCCAGAGTCTAGAAAGAGGTGTGCACACAGCAGAATTCTGCGGTGTCACTTTGAACCACAGAGAGCAAGAACTGCTACTTTATAGATGTTGAAGAGAAAAACATTGGAAATGCAAACTGATATTTTGCATATTTAACTCTTTCAAGGAAAATGCAGTCGAAGTGCAGTGTTCACCTGAGTAGCTTCTCTACTGTGTCCCGTGAATGCGTTCCTTTTTAGGGTTATTACTGAAAGGAAGTCTCTTCCCAGACCCCTGGTAGTGCTAAGGCTTGGCAGGGAGAGGGGAGGCTCTGGGAGGCGCCCGGAAGTGGCACTCAGCCACCAGTCTGCCACCTGTAGGCTGGTTCTAGCAGACTGAATGCTCAGCGCCCACTCGCCCACTCGCCCACTCGCCAGGCAGGAAAACAATGCACTCTAAATAATTCTAAAAACTGAGCAACAGATGTGTTAAGACTACACATAGGGGAGCCTCTGAGTCACAGCCCCCACGTGCCTGACACCCACCGCCCTCACTGATTTCAGCGCCCCAAGCTGTGACCACACACGCTCTCTTGCTCCTATTCAGCCCTCCAAGACTGGCCCTCTAATCTGAAAGCTTTGAAAATTAATACTCCCATTAGGATGAACAACCACACCTGTATCGATCGGTTTCCAAGGCAGTTTTGCTCGGATCTCCTTTTAAGAGCCAAGAAATGAACTTAGAGAACAAAGACCATTATAAAGGAATAAATAAAAGCAAATTGTATGGTTTTTGTTTTAATTTCAAAACTCCAGAGCAAATCGCAGACACAGATTTCAAAGCTTTGCTATGGGATTCTGTAGGTGGCATTTAAAGATACAGAGTTTGCGACTTATTTCGGCACCATAAACCAAATAAATGCACTCACAGATGTCAAGAGTTCTCCAAATAAGTGCCTCTATATATCCACTCCGAATCTACCTTGCCTATTTCCATTTGTTCATTCTTTATTAACACAGGAAGAAGCAATTTTCAGCAAAACGCTACAAAATGCCAAAACTAACGTCGGGTACAATCACTGGTTTAAGGGACATTTCCTGGTGTCTTTTTCCCTACAAAGGTTTCTTAGTCTCTGACTTCTCTGATTTGGCAGTCAGGAGCCTGAAAAGCATTCGTCCTCGAGGTCCAGAAGTCAGAAAACACGCCCCTCCAACCGCTGGCTTGAGTAGCCTCCTCCCTGCCCAGACCTTGGGCACAGTCCCCAGCGCCAAGCCAGTGAGTGGCTAGAGGGGGCCAGCGGTCCGCGCCGCCGGACTGAACCCCAACCTAAGCCGACGCACCTCGCACCTCAGACCCAGGAGAGGCCCCCACCGAGGCAATGCACGCGGGGACGCACAGGCCGGCTGTGGATTCGGATGACACCTTCCCGCGTGGGACGCGGCAGCGACGCCGATCTGCACGCGCGGAGTTCCGAGGGGCCCGTACCCGCCAGGCTCGGACACGCAGCTGGGCGCCGGGTCGCTGCCCACGCCAGCCGGGTGAAGGGTGGACGCCGGGCTGCGGCTTCCTCTAAGAAAAGTAACTCCGGGGATCCGCGCGACATTGACGGGAGCAGCGAGGCAGTACCCAGAGTTATCCTGGCCGGAGTTTCCGAGCCGCGCCTCGCACCCCGCCACCCGACCCCGGCGTCCCCGCGCCCGGCCCGCAACCTCGCCCGAGTCCGGCTCCCGCGGCCGCGGACACTTACCGAGAAGCCGGCCCAGAAGGGGCAGGAGTGGCGGACGCGGGCCGAGGTGGTGAGCGCCAGGGCGGCGAAGCTGACAGCCACGATGAGGCATCCGAGCGCCATCTGCGTAGCCCCGAGCGCCAGCACTATGCGGGAGCGGCCCGGGCATTCGCGCAGCCGGGACAGGCTGCGGGGC